TTAGTACTACAGCCAAATCAAAAATATGGCAATACTTGTAGCTCATTAAAGGCAAACAATAAGCCTAATGCTAAGAGATCAAGAGGCATTTTTCAAGCCAAAGGGACACCTGTCACTACGGAAAGTACTACTAAAGATATTGTAGAGAACAAGCACCATCATGCCTAGGGCCTACGTATACAATGTCTAAGTTTTAACTTAAAAGACCTGATCCTAATGTACTCTCTTCATCAAAACCATAAAGAACATCACTATTACTACTACTGCAAACATTGCAGAGAACCAGCACCGGGCCTATACAACCTCTAAGTTAAGACCTGATCCTTGTACTATCTTCAACAAACCCATGAAGACAGTACTGAGACCAAGTTGCATGGCAGATTCCACTTTATTGATCTAGGTGAGGGTGGTTTCATGTGTGTATATACTGAATCTTTTCAAGACAGAAAGATTGACTGGAATCTGAGATAATACTTTTTTTCACTAATTTTCTATACCCAAAATAGTAAACCAAATATGCAATGTTTAATTACAGGAAGACATCTGTTTCAATTTTAGCATTTAACCAAATAAATTGTCTGCATTATTTTGAGCTAAATACGAATTTAACAAAAGTAACATTAATTTAAGTTTTCATTAAAAAAAATTCAAAAGTAATATTTTAAAATTTAATTACTTTTGGTTCATGGGAGAGATACAGCATAATAAAAATGAGTTCTCCCTGTGCCACTTCATTAACTGTTCCCATTGTTAAAACTGCCCATAAAATTGACTTTTCATATTTAATATGTTCATAAGATATCTCCCCTCACTAAATGACTCCCTAATTAACTTAAATGAAGCATGATATGAATATTTATCATGATCATAATGTTTTTATGGTTTTTCACCATTTAAATACCACCAGTGTACAAAAAAGTTTCCTTAATGTGATGCTTTTTTATTCTACACCACAACATTTTTTCGAAATTTTCATTTTTTGTACATCACGTTTGTTCCTTGATTGCACCAGGATCGCTTCTACTGATATGTGTAAACGGGGCTTAATGTATCTCCTAGACTGCATCAGATATGCATCTGTGGGACAAACAAGCAGTTAAAATATAAGAACACTAATTTTGTTGGTTGTAACAATGATGGCACTTTCCCCATTATGCAACAGAGTTGCGTTAATAATTAAATGTTTCCGTCTGTTGCTTTAACATGATAAAAATAATCACCTTCACAGTGCACTGCTAAATTTCACAACTTGGATCATTAAATATTAATGAATATTTGATAAGCATTAATTATTTGAAGTGGAGAGACTAGTTTAATATGGCTGGTGAAAGATAATTTATCAGGTTACAATCTATTTACAATCTGCAGAACAAACGTTTAAAAAATCAGTCTCTTCAAGGATTACTCAATATGGCTTGAGTGTTTTTTCTTTAGACGTCCTTTTTAATATTTGTTGGAGATGGGAACAAAATAATAAAAGAAACATAATTCCATCTTATGGCTTAAAACTTATGGTACATATGACAGGTTGCCATTTTCAGATTCAGCCTCGTAAGGGCCATATATTGATCCAACCTCCACCCTTTTTACAACTCTGTTTTTCTAGGTTGTGTAACAATCTCTGTCACACTTCACACTATTACACCTAACAGCTGGCTAATTGAAAGATTATATATGCACTGTTTTCGTATCATATTGCACCTGGTTTTGTTACTGAGGTGTGATTCCAAGGTGCTTGTATTGTCCATACTGATGGACACATCACCCGATTTCACATGAACAATTTTTCTGCATTATTTTTCCAGTTTACTCTAGTAAAAATGAATGATAACAGTGAATAAAAATGTGATATTGTTTGCATTTGGTGCAAAACCAGTTCTAGCATATTACAGTATTTCAGAAGCAAGTTTATGTTATCTTGCCATTGACTGGGCCCTTTTGTGAACATTGGAACAAAATCGGCACGTTTCATCCAGCAATGCCAGACAGGGACAGATAAAAATACACACAATCTTGATGGACATTTTCAAACTCCTTTAAGCAAACGAACGCTACAGTTACATCTCAGTGTTACAGCTGCAGTATAGATTGGCAAATATATGCATATGTTGAATAATGAATAAAAATCTGGGTAGGCAATCAAAAGTACATGCTGAAGTACAACATCACTGTAATGTTGATAAAATAGCAATCAAACTGAATCAAATGTGGGTACACATTCTATCAGTCTAGCAACAAGGGGTGGACGCCTTTTGCTTTATTACCTCACTTTACCCCCTGCCAAAGTGTTATTTATTAAATTCAATGAAAAAAATGAAAAATAGTTATCAAATGTAATTATTTTTTTTCCTAAAAAAGATTATAAACAGTGGTATGCAAATGAAAAAAGTAAATGTTTATTTAAAGTTTGTTAGGCTGATTGTGAGGGGGGTGGGGGAGGGGGATCATAAATTCATGCAGTCTAGATATACCGAGTAACTACCATACTATGAAGTCATATGAGGAATAGTTTGCATTACACTCGTGTCTCTTTAGCAGCAATTCTAACTGCAAGCACAAGCAATTACACTAGGGAGGGATAAAAAAGTATAATTACTTTTGATAAGTGGTAATTGCTTCGGAAAAACTCAATTTTATGGGGGAAAACTGTGATGAAATCTGATCAGATAAAGTACATTTACTCCCCTTCCTTTTTTCTAAGCAATTCCCACATGTCCCCATAGGTTAATTAAACTAGTTGCCAACTGTTCGCTGCACAGCGTACTTATACATACCACTACTGTTGTCTGTCACTTTTTGCCAATTTTCTTGAAGAAGTAATTTAGTATTTACAATAAAAAGTTAAAATTCATGTCTGATGTATATCACTGCATCAAATTATTTTATCAAATAGACAATATTCACCCAATAAAATCTCGTATATGTATAATTCTGCTAATAATTGTGTTTTTAAATAACCAATATTGTGGCACACACACATACATGCACATGCACGTGCACACACACATACACACACACACACACATTAAAGATACATTTTCTGTTTTAATTATGCACATGTGTTCAATGTCATATTGCACACTTTAAGGCAATCATATGACAGGCGTCTTTTAAATCCACTTGTCAATGATTGCATGTATAGCACCAATTGTCCCTAATTAATTGAGTTAGTTAAGCTACAAGGCAGCCTGTGCTATAATTGCAATCCGTTTATTTCTGGCAATTAATTATATATTTCCCACACTTGTACAAGTTCTCTTTTAATACTTGAGTTGGTGCGAAAGAAGACAGAATTCAATGACTTGTATCATATTGTAGTTCTCAACTTTTCTATGAAGAAAAATTGTATCAAAAGCACAATAACAGGGTTTCAAAACATGAATTATCAAAGCTTATTTGGGTGATTTGGGCTTAAAATTCTAATTACAGCAGTTTTTTTTTTTTCATAACAGTTATTGATTTCTTGCAATGTAACCACCTAAATTAACTATGAATACAATTTTCTAAAATCGGCAGAATACCACTCAAGGCGTGTCACTATCACAACATTTTTGACCACCAGATTTTATAAATAGCCATTTGACCACAAGGGTATCAATGGTGCACACCTTTGCTATAAGTCTGTGCTAGAGGGCGAATGATTCCCACAAGCAAACCAAACAGCCTCAGGGCCAATACACTTCCTTCACACTTGGTTAGTTTACATAAAATTCTGACTGGTAATCTTGTAGGTATTATACAAATAAAAGAAAAGCTTTGGTAATTGTTAAAGAAAAACTATGCAAATTATGCAACAAATTGAAACTATTTATCAAACTGGTTTCCTGGAGTGGAGTACCTTAACAACAGGCACACTCGATAGGACATCAATAAATCAAACAGATTACGAAGTGTGGGTATTCCGTTACGAAACATTCCAGTCCATTGCCCTTCATGACACCTGCTATAATGCACCGACAAGCTCAAGTTTCCATGAACAAAGAACGCCTGTAGTGCTCAACTCAACCGTGCTCTTCCAAGTCCTCCACTCAATTGACAAAAATCATTTGCATAAACCACGGTTCAGTGATGTCCAAATACGCTGTGACCTCAGGCGTAAGAATTGCAGCATATGGAAGCTGCTGGGTTCACTCTAAGATGTCATAAATCTCTGGGGGAACTGCTAGTCTTGAGTGACATTAAGGCCATGAACTTCATCTGGACAAATTACTGGCCAATCACAATATAACAAATTTGTTCAATACTTTATAAATGGGCGACTTCAGACATAACAACTCTATGCAAACAGGGCACTGGACATGGGTAGAGAAATGGTATGAAATCCTTTGAATGTGAACCAAACTAGGCAGGTATTAAAAACCATGTGCAAGTATATTAATAGTACCAAAAACAATTAAATCTAATTATCTATTTACATCCTTCAACTCAATCTGATCAGTTTACTGTTTCAAACAATGAGGAATAAAAAGGTACGAAATTCACTTAGTCTTAAACAAATTAGCAATTGCCAAAAATAGCCCAATTTAACTGAGTTCTTGACAAATCAGCCCAAGATAGGTTTTAAAACTAGTTAAGACTAGATAATGGTCTCAGTGGCTCTCTCCTACAACCAGATTACTACAGTAGACAATTCAGACACAGGGACATTGATCTCACAATAAATACATCAGTTGAAACATTTATAAGACAAAGAATTCTGCAAGAGGCAGGTCCTAATACACCCTGAACAATGATAAGACTGCCATTTAGTGAAAAAGTCTGAAAATATTGGGTGGGGTCCGGAGTGCCACCTGCATTGAAAACAAAAATTATACTTTTGCCCCTCAAAAGTCTGAAATCCACCAATATATTTGGAAAAATCTCATTATTGCCTTAAACAACAGATGCTCTTTCCTCTATGATTCCTCATCTGCTAATACAAGTAAGGCCCATATATGTATTAGGTCTCAAAGACTGCCCATGTGTGAATGTGTCTCAAAGGCCGAGGGCCACCAACTCACCAACTGCACCACAATCACTTTTCCCATAGGTGTGATAACTTCTGTGGAGTTCATGAAAATCCCATCCAAGTTCTCTCGATCAGGGACTTTCCAATCGGCCTGCATCAAAAGATTGGTGCTCTGTGGATCCTCTGATGTCTTAAACTCAATATTACCCTGAAAAGAGAGATAAGAATTTGGAAAATTAGCTCATCTTGGTGAAAACGGTATATCTTCCCAAATCAAATCAAACTAGTTTTCTTGATCTTTCAGTTATTCAGAAGTGCTTGTAGACATGAAATTTTGTCCTCAACAGTTTATATTACAGAACAGGTTTTTATGACGAAAATTACTATGCAGTTTCCAAATGAAGATTTCAGATAAATCTTATGTCAGACATCTTGAGCAAAAGTGGATTTTTATATTCTGCACATTAACTAAAAGTGCACATCGACCTTAAATGCCGTAATTTTTCATTGTTCAGCAAAGCTCTTGAAAGTGAAATCATTAAAAAATTCTGATTTTGACAATTGACTACAGAAGTTTATAGCTTTAACATCTGGATTTTAAAAAAATGCTGAGAATTAACAAGATAAAGGTTGACGCAAACCATTTCATAATCTACTCCCACATGCTTTGCATAAAAAACCTAACCGAGTTATTTTGGCTCAAATTGCACAACCAGCAAAGGTTGACATTTGATAATCGTTTTTCGCGGCTCCTGTATTTACATTATTGTAATTGTGTGACCTTTAAAAGGAGTCCCAGTTGCACAGATTATTCTTTTCCTGAAATCACACGAAAGTACAGTACTGTTTACACTAGAACTATCAGGACTAAAGACTAGATTCCCATACCTAGATTGATCTAGACTAAAAAGATCGATCCATCTCCGAGGGGTCTCTGGCTGAACTGCTTTCAGCTTAAGTGGCTAAGATGTTTGGCACGCCTATTGAAGCTGCTAAATAATAATTTATTACCCCCAGCAACTTCAGTAGGCTTGACAGACATTTAAGCTGCTTAAGTTGACTGCAATTGGTGAGAATCCCCTTAGAGATAGATTGATCCCCAGTTAGTACGCTAGGTTCTGGGAATGGTCCCTAAGCATGAATGGTTCTTTCATAAAAGAGAAAGCTATCTTAACTGACGGACACCAAACTAGTCTATATTTTTCACAACAATTTGACAATTTGACAACAGACATCTTTAAAAGAGTGCTTCATAATCGGTCCATTTAAATCTAGTGTAAACAGGGCAAAACTGTATATGTTGTCTGAAAAACACTACGAAATTAAGACAGTGATTGGAATTTGAAATCAAATAAGTGTGGAAACTACAGCATTCTAATTTGACTTTAATTTAAAAACAACCTATAATACTATTCTAACAAATTACAAGTTTCAAAATGCTTTGCCTCGAATATATAGATGTTTAAACATGTTATTTTACAAAGTTTAGGTTTTTTTTCGAGTTTTCTTCTTCTGTTTTTTCTTTCTTTTCATTTATTTGTTTTTTTTTTAATAGGAATGATTTTTGCCTTAATGCTTAAAGGTAGATCTTTCCTTCAATGAGATTATTTTAAAAATAAGTATGATGATAATTCAAATATTCATATTCTTCAACACATACAACAATTTCATTCAAAACAACTTGTTGTATAATCCTTATTTCAAAATATTTACATATATGCAGATTTAAAAATCTATACATAATAATCAATGACAAATTGAATATAATAGCCCTTGAGCTGTATAACAAGAGTGCTCCCCTTCCACCCCTTCTCTCTCTTATTTCTTCCTACCTTACTGAACATAAACATTAAAGGGATAATAACTCTTCATTTGCGCCAAAAAATGAATTTTCCTGGAGTAAACAACAATTTTCCCATACTAACCAATGGGTAATGAATCCATTTTTACATTCAAAGTTAGTCCCTGGTTTTTTTCTAAAAAGTTTGGTTTTTTGTTAAAATCTCTTAAGAGATTTTAAGAGAGTATAGCCATCAATGGAGGTCACGTGGTCTAAAGACAAGCTCAGATATCAGAATAATAGCTATAACTGCTGTTTTTGTGGTAAAACAGAATATATTATATTTCTATGAGTTATTCACAATGTTTTTATTGTGAAATATAGATCTCATACAAAGAGTTATTATCCCTTTAACATCACAGGTGGTCCAAACCAAGAGCCAAATCAAGAGACCACCTTGCAGGTACAAACATCACTCGATACACCTGCCACCCAGCCACCCCCCCCTCACCCCCCTGCCCCTCCCTCTCAAACAAAGCCCCCTTTACCTCCTCAAGCCCATATGTTACATCAAAACAAGGTGCTTTAGAATACCCTGTAATTATAAACACCATATGTTCACAATGCTGATTGCAATAATTCAATAACACAATAGGTTTATCAGGGTACTTGTGGTAATTGATTGCATAGAGGTATGATAAACACATACTGATCCTTAGAGGGTTACTGTTACTGTTATGTAACAGTAGCTGTGACTGTTATGTCACTGTGTGTACGTGATACCTTTGTGGAGGGGTATTCCGATACCTCATAAAATGTCTTAATTGGGACCCATGTCATCAAAGGACGGATATCATATCCTGAGGCAATTTTTGTATACTTAGGGTTTGGCATTGAACATCTATATCTATAGCTGGCAAAGGGGAAATGTCAACACGTAGAATATAACCAGATCTTTGGACAACACATTTGGCTGAAAATTCAGGTGTATGTGTACATGTTAAAATGCATTGCTTCACACTTTTCATTCCATGACATGATCTGTGTATATTTAATGCACCTTGCTGACTATAATTGTGCCTTTAATTTTTTGTTTGTCCTAAACAGAGCATTCAAGCAATAAATAAATAAATAAATAAATAAATAAATAAATAAATAAATAAACAATCTCAGGTGAATTAATATGCAGTGCTCAATAAATGTATTTTTTAGGTAAAAAGGGAATTTCTAAAAATTTTGCTATATCAGATTCATTAATGAATAGCGCAGCAACTCGGAATTCTGACACTTATCATTTTGCTATAATTGCAATAAAAGCAAAACTTGGCTATGGTCAGCCAGGTTTTTGATTCTGTGTAGAGTTGGGAAAGGAGTGCTCTGTATACAATTCTCTAATGCTCCTGCAAGGTCTGTATGCATGCTTGTGCACTGATGTGTACACCATTCCTAGACAGGCCTTGACATAAAGGTAAAACACGTAATACAAAACATCACGCAACTTTTAATGGTTTCTCATGCTCAAAACATTGTATCGTAAATAAAGAACATTTTTCAACAATACCATCCCATGATGATACCTGCATAAGTTTGGACAATCAAACTACTAAAACATGCTTTTTTTTACAAAAGAACTAATATCTCAACAAATCACCACCGAGTATATCCTCACGATATACCAACATATATAATGTCACCTGTTCAAAAATTCTGTAACCTTGGCAGTTGCTGTATATAATATTCGTATGTCACTATGGGAAGCAACAGACAGAAAGAACCAGACACAATGCCTGATATGTCACAGGTCATCCAGGCTTACCTGTACTACAGAACATATCCCACTCCTGCCATACTGTCAAGAATATATGTTTTTGAAAGATAGATTCACCTTTCCTTTTTATTTGCACAATGACGAACAAGCTTTAAAATAATGTTGAAAAGAAAAATCAGTTCATGCAGATGGGAAAGTAATAGATGAGGTTTTCTTTTGGGGTCTGTCTTTTGGCCTATCAGTATGTCTGTCTGTCTGTCATATGCCAATCACACGTTTATTGAAACAGTGATACCTCTCTTTACCCTTAGGTTAAAATCTATGCAGCTGTCTGTCTGTCTGCTTGCCTATCTATATCTATCTATCCACATACCGACTTAACTAACTGAACTTTCCTTATTGGACCTTCATCCCATTCTGCCTATCCTTCTGTGTCAAATAATACATGCAAAGTAATTTCCTGACATCTTTATTTATCCAAAAACAATGGATTCCTTTTGTGACCTGCTATGCCTAAGAAGTCACCTTAACCTCCACAGATTTTACTCTACCCTTGATTCCGACCCTTACCTCAACCCTAGATAAAGAAAAAGTGACTTTTAATGTGGCAGTTAAAAAAATAAATTATTTATGGTACTTCTTTTAATCTTTAACACTGTACTCTTGGCTACTCATGGGTGAGATTGCTATTGTGGTTAACGCTGGTTTTTAGTTCAGGTGTAAATACACACCTGGTACAGGAGTATTGGCAGGGTCATGCTAAGACGTGTATTGGGGGGGGTAAGAGAGGGAAGGGGGCTCTTTTCACTTCGTTAAGAGATAGTCGCATCCTCTCCCCCCCCCCCCCCACTAAAATTGCCCACTTCAGTGACCTAAGCTCACTCTTCTCCCCTTATTCCCAGCTACATGCACACATATGCTCTTGAATAATTCAAAACTATAACAGCGCATGTATTTGTGACCCATAAAATTTATGATGGTAAACATTCTATACATTTACCAAAACCATCACTTTTTTTTACCAGTGTGTCACTAGCACTCCTGCATGCTCATTTTTCAAAATCAGTTCTGTTCCCAAAATTCTTGAATTTTCCCATCATATTAATCTCTGATGTGATATTAACAATGTCATCATTATCCGTAGTTCTAAGCAATTATTTGAAAAAAAAAAAAAAAGATAAAAATAGTTAGATCTGACTTGAGAAGTTCTTCCTCATTAGTTTTTCCCACAGTTGGTTTCCCAAAAGACCCAAGAATACTAGGTTAATGACACTGAGGCTCGGAAACATCGTTTCTAGGGAGTGTTAGTCGTACAGAAGAAGCCCCCTGTAAATGTTACATATTGAATTTCAAAAAACCGCACACGCTAAGTATCACGTAATACTAACGAGACCACTCATCATGCAAAGTCTCCATGCCATGTCTTGGTATATCATCTTCAGACTATGTGATTATGGATTTTTTTTGTGTGTCTTCATCTGCCATATGGTCCTGTATCCTCTTTTAGTTTAAAGATGAATTTTTTTCCACATTTCTCTTAAATTCTACAAGATACAGTTGATTTAAAGACATCTCAGGCAATCTTTCTTTTCTTTAATCAAAATTTTTAAGTTAATGAATGACAGTTTTGCCATCTGCTACAATAACTGCTGTAAAGGTA